TACTACTACTACTACTGCTACTATGATGACTTGTAGTACAGTTACCGTTACTGTTACCAATAGCATTATCATCACTGTTATTATTTCTGGGCCACTACAGGAGCCAGTACCATTACCAGGACCGCTACTATTTCAATTAGCGCTTCTATGAGGATTAGCACTAGTACCGGCATTGGTATTACCAGTAATATTAATGGCTTTTCATGCTCTGATACCTTCCCCGGAAGCGAACTCTTTAGACCTGCGCTGAACCAACAAGGACTTCGCACATGCATGCACCCGTAAACAGACACACACACCCACACACACTCACACTAACTATGCTGCAAAGCTCTGCAATGGCATAGATGATGTCAAGCTGTTGCACCATCTTTTCCTCGGTTTTCCCAATTCATGTTCATGAGCATGTCTGCTTCCTCCCCATTCTTTGCTTTGCTTTGCTTTGCTAGGGGTCAGAGCCAATTCTCTCTCTCTTTCTCTTTCTTTCCGCAAGGCAGAAACGTCCTCCCTCTTTCGCTCTCTCTCGGGCACGACTGCAGACAAAAGCAAGGCCGACACCCCACGCATTTCTGAACATGTCGACCCAGCCTAGGAAATCAGGGCCGAGATAAACAAATGGGTAGTTGTCTAAACTAGGGTCCCTTTTAGGATCCTTTTTATAAGGGTGCCGTACTATATTGGGGACCCAGAAAGGGAACCTGATTTAGAGAACTACCCAAATGCTGGTTAGTTCGGATCATTTCGGACCTCTCACTCCACATACCCGGGCCCAAATGCAGCCAAGCATGCAGTGCCCTGTGGAAACCAGCCGGCCGCACGATCCTGGTGCGCGCCGAACTGCCATGGAAATCCCGAAAACCCTGAAGTTCATACCAAATCCTGAAATGAAACCCGGCAGTCTAGAATCATGTGTGCCCCTTCTGCACCCCGGTTAACAGAGCCCGGCCTTGGAGTAAGGTCGATCCGAGGCCGGGATGCCCAGTTCTTGTCGCTTTGTCCTTCATGGCTGCTCCCGTCATGTCTGTGTTGGACTATAGTGACTATAGCTTCATGAGTTTGCTTGCAAGCGGCTTCCCATGTCCCGCCTGAACAGAGCCTCGGTAAACTTGGTGCAGGCTTTGCGCGGACCGCCTCGGTTGCAGCAGCCACGTTCCAACGAAGAGGTACGAAGAGGTACGCTGGGTGATGAACATTGTGTTGTATTTCCGAATCTTCCGGCCCCGGAGCCTCCGCACTTGCCGACACGAGATTTTGCCAGCTCCAGCTTCGGATGACCCTCCTTAGAGCAAGGGATGTTGGAAGCTGCTTAAGACTCTGCAGGTCCGTTGAAGATGCAACCTCTTTTCGACTCCTCCCTGCCCGGTCCTACCCGAGCCTGTGCGCCAAGAGGTTCATCCGTCAACGAGTAAATGCCAAGAGTCTGGAAAAAGGAAATCGTTGCCTAAGATCTGCAAGTGCTATACGGCGCAATGGCACATCTGGTGCATTCCACTCCAGGGCACATGACCCTCGCGGAAGTCGACCCGCACAGGCTGTCAGCACCTCTACGCACGTGGCAGGGCTATGCATTGGGTCAAGAATGCGCTTCAAGTAGAAGGACTGTCTTCAATGCTACAAGCCGCGGTTCTCACGACTTCTTCCAACACAACTAGTCACAGCTAAGTGGCATCGAAGATGCGCTCGGCAGCTTTCTGACCACCGGCATCCTCCCTAACCATAACGATGTACACCTGAACGCTTTGTGGCTGAGGATAGGGCTCCCGGATGCATAGCTGACAAGTCGACAGCCGTGTTTCAGTAAAGGAGCACGGGGCCGGCTTTGTGGAAGGCCCCAATCCTTAGGCAAAACAACGCGAGCATAAGGAGGCACGGCCACGCGCCGTGCGTGGCAAAGCTCCGCGCAAGTTGTCCACTTCTAGCCGACTCCCGACTCTTTCTCATCATAATCGCAGCTCAGGTTCGTAGGAATACAATATGTCCCATCGAAGTCCATAGCCTTCGATGAGGCTCAACCCCCAATCAGCGTTGGGCTCAGTGCCCTGATAACAGTCTTCTTGGCTTTCCTCGGAACAGCACGCGGTTCAGGCAATGTGTAGGGCAGATACGGGTTTTTAGGCTTGAGCTGCTCGCTTTGGAGCACAAACACGGCCCCAAGTCGGCTATCTAGACTTTAACCTCATCAAACATGTTTTGGCACATCAAACCCAGCTTAGCTCCCATCCAACTCAGACAAATCTCGACGCACCTTGCCGATCCACCGACTTCCCTGCCTCATCGGCCTCATCGCACAGCAACGGCCTTGGATCACCCCCATGATCTTGTCTGGCAAGAAGTCGCCAGTCCGTTTTTGATGGTCAGGACCAGCATCTTCAAACACGCCAGGATGTGGATGTCGTGGTAGATGTGGTTCTCTTGTTCGATCCTCGTTTGACGCATTGTGCTGGCGCCCCAGGGCCGGTTTCTGTCACCACCGCTGTTCGTGCCGGAGTTGTATTGTATCACGAAAGGCTGCCGTTCTGGTAGCCGTCGAATTTCAAGAGCATCCACGTAATTTGTCCCAAGTATGTCGTTTTACTCACCGCTTGCTCATCCTTTGCCCCTACCGTCTCAGCTGGCTTCATAAACTTGCCTGCATGTTCCATCCTGAACTCCTTCTTTCCGACACCATCGCCTCAACACGAAGCTATCTCGGTCCTACGTTCTGCATTTTGCCGTATATGGACCATCATCCTTTTCACCTGCGAAAGGTGTCGGACACCCTCTTGCGTTTAATCGCTGGTGTGTCATGTTTCCGTTTCACCTTGCCAAAAAGTCCGGAATTTCCGCAGGGTTACGTGGTCTTGGTGTGCCGTCTCCTGTCCATGGGTAGTTTGGCGTGGGTCTCTCCCGCTTGAGTAAATCGTCCTTGGAGATGGATTTGGATATACACAACACGGATTTTTCGGCCCCTTGGCATGATGTTCGTTGACATCGGAGTCCTCAGCATTCAAGCAGCCCAGTCAAACATCATATTCGCGGCGAAAAATCCTTCAATTTTCTATCTCCAGAGTCATCATACCCAGATGTAAGACGAAGCACCATGTCATCCACATCACGATCTGCAACAGGGAGCGCGCCCTTTGTTCCAATGCATTTGCTAGCTGGATGGTCTGCATTTGTTAGATTGGCGGATTGTTCCTGAATGCCAGAATCGCTGTGGCGGTTGGCACCAGCATGTTCTTCGGAGTCACAGGCCGGATTCATGCATACTGTGCATGGAGACTTGTCCAAGCAATGTTTCTGTGAAGGTGGCTGCCGGACCACAGAGACTCGCTCCTAATTTCCAGTAGTCTTTCCCGTCGCACCGCTGATTTGGCAGAAGGCACTGCTGACCAAACCAGAAACTTGGTGCCATCGACGATGTGGGCAAATTTGGTCCTGCTATCCGACCTTGAACTCATCTTCCACACCTTATACATTATGTCCAACTGTCTGGACGGATCGGTTGGCAAGATGGCTTCTTGTGGCTGCAAAACACTTCTTCGCTTCTTCGTCTGCCACCCACAACGCTCCATCGATGTCACCCACCTGATCCTGCTTTAATGCATGCTCGATCCGAACTGGAAGAAAACCTCGTGAAACGTTCCATGCCGTTGTACCCATGCCCGAACTAGCCATAGCAGCACCAAAAATTCGTTGCAACATCCTCGATCTCTAGAGTGTTTGGGGGTCCTGCCCCCTTGCCGCTGAGCAAGACGAACATTGACCTCCCCCTGTGACCAGCCAGCAATCATCGGCATTCCGTCCTCCGCGTTCGGCTGCAAAGTGTGGATTTTCTTCCAACGCCATGGCCCTCAAGGCCATGCAGCTCATGGTCCCAATCAATGGTTGGTTGGATCAGAACTCGAAACGCGACCTGTCACGACACCATAAGTCGCATGAAGACGAAGGGTGGCCGCAGCTTTGCGTCAGCACCCCATCGAGACATCTTTGGCACCCAAACGAAGGACAGCGAACTTTCTCCAAGGTAGTGTTTCCTCAACCGCAATGTTGGATGCATATAGCTGCATGCAGCGCCTGGAAACGCGAAGCACCTGATTTCGTCAACGCGTCTTTCCAAGTTGTACCGCGGCGGACTTGCTTGAATAAGTTTCCTTATCCCCATGTCATTACAGGACAGTAGTCTTCAACGGACTCGACCGGGCGAAAGCGAAAGCAAAAGCATGCCTTCACTTGGTACATGGGCACCGCTTCCGCTTGCACACAGCACCAAGCACGTTCCGTTTGCGTTTTTGCAATCTTAACTACATACTCCCGGAAACCGAATACAAGGAGTGGCAGCCGAGTGGCACTGTGAGCGTGATCCTTGCGCAGGGCAATATCTTCTCTGTTTCAGGATCTTAACACACTCTAGCCAACCCTTGCGATTACGCACAGACACCGTCAGGAGCAGCTCAAGACTCATGCTTTCCGCTTTCCCGGATTTGGGTTTGATACTCCAAGCTCTGGGTAGACATCAGCACAAAGGCTGACAAAGAAGCATCAGCTGCTGCTGACGAAAGAGGACACTTCAGCAGGCCACTGGGGCACTTGAGGGCAACCTCCCCAACAACGACCTCAACCACAACCTTGAAAACTCCTCAGACAACCATGGACCAAGCGAATCAAACGCTTTTTTTCATTCCAAGCTGCAACTTGGAACTAGAACGCACATCACTCGCGCTTGTGGCTTTGGGTCTCAAGGCGCACGGTATGGCTTATTCTTATTTAGAGTTTAGAGCTTGCGGGTTTCGGGCTTAGCGGGGCTTAGGGCTTAGGGTTTTTTCTGCTCCCGGACAGACGTATTCAGGTCGGAAAATCGAGGCAAAAGGAACGCCTCAAGCGCTCAACTATGCCACAAGTCTGTAAGCATTCCCGGCGACCCGGTGCACTGCAACCACTAGGGCTACAGACGAATATTCGCATGCACACCAGCTGAACAACATTGGAAAAAACCGGGAGGTGCTGCCGGTCAATTTCGCATGAACTTTCCGACTTCGGGTCGAAGGCTTGTTTTTTGTTCCGCACCTTGTTCCATTCACCTACTCGGCCTACTCCTAACGAACTGTTTTTTTTGGTTCCTCTCTTGGCCCCTCGGCGCTGGCGGCGGGAAGCGATGGCACCCTCTTCGGGATGTTCTTGACCTACCCCGCATTGTCGATCAAAGCTATGACGTCCGACCAAAATTGCATCCAGATTTCACTCTGGCACTTCGGTGCACAGTACCCTTTGACTGGGTCAACCATCAGGCAGCGGCTCTACACTGAGCGGCCTTGATGACAAAGCTCTGCAGCTTCACATGTCATGACATATGTAGGGTCGATCTGATCGACAGCAGACGCTGAGCCTCCATGAGTTCAAAGACTTCCCGATCATGGGGTTTGCAAATGTCCCGCTGCGAGGTCCCCGGCCGTCTGCTGCTTGGAAATCTGTGTTAAGCGCGAAGTTCAGGTCCGGGCTGTTCGCCACCATGCCATCAGCTTGCTCCACCAACTGCTTCTTTGCATTCACTGTCTCCGGCAACATCAACATCTCCTTGTCAGCAGCGTCCATGACTCGTGCATCTTTGCCGTCACACTCAGTGACACATAGCCATCTCCCCGAACTTCCACTTCCCCTCGTCGACCGCTGCCCGCCCCTTACACTTAAGCTTCGGGCCAGCGTTTGGAGCTTGGGGCTAGGTTTTGGCATCCGCAGGCTCAGCCTCAAGCACTTATAACTTTTTTACAATCCCCGACATAACCATTCACTATTGCAACGTTGTTAGTCATTGGTGGCTTTGATTTGTCACGTAAGGGGCAGGCAGGTGGGCAGATACAGAATCGCGGCCCAAGCTGCAGGATTTCGGCCTCGAAGAATAAAATCGATAGGAGGGTGCTCGGTCTCCGGATTCGGTGCGAGCAAACCCTTCACCTCGGCACACACAGCAGGACAAGGTGTTGTAGCTGCGTGCCAAGATAAGAACCCAGCATTCTCCAGGATCACCAGCCGCGGTCTCCTCTCCGCGATGAACTTTCCTGAGCATGCGGGGGGATGTTGCCAGTCAGTCCAACTTGACTCCACCCAATTCGTCAGGACGTCACATGCTGTCTACCTGAAACTGCAAACCACCTGCGACGGAGCGTGCACTGAGCGGCATGGAAACCGGAAAAGCTCCATATGCAAAGAAGGAGCGCATCTCGAAGAAGGGCACAGCTGCAGGTTCAGTAAAGCAGTTCCTCTTGAACCGCTTGGGATTGCAAAAAGAATACCTTGGTGTCACCACTACTGAGTTAGGCAACGTCGACAAACACGACTCTCCGCCAAAGACCGCCCAGGCAACCCCAGCCCTCCAAACCTCGTCGACTCGAAGCTTCACGAAAGAACCCATGGAGTCGCCACGTTGCGGAGTGCAAGGAAAACCTCCGACGAAAATGTCCACCTCCCCGCCAGGCACGCTGCAGCGGCCACCATGACGAGCACAGGCCCCGGAACCTGCACCAGTCGAAGAGCGAACCGACCGAAGCCTGCACAGTTTACCACACCTTGCATGACATAGCAAACGTCCTCGAAGAGGTGCTTGGTGTTGCCTCACGACACCGAGATGCGCAAAGACCGCCAAGCGACAACTGGCAGCTCCGAGCATCTGCGAACAAGACCCACAGACCGACCGGCTCGGGCTTGACTGCAACTTCCAAGAATCATATCTTCCGGATGTGGAGCAAAGCCAGTAACCACAAGGAACCCGGTTTACAAGTGTCGTTTGTCGAGAGGCAGTTCCTCAATATAAAGCGCCGCGGGTTCTCGTTGATCTCCGAGCCGAACAGCTGCTCGAAGCCTCACCCACGAACAAATCATAATTACACATAACAATACAATAGCGTGTCAGCTCTTCGGTATTTCGGGGAGCTTGAGGCTGCGGACAAAATTTGGGCTGTCTTGTGAAGGATGTTGGTTGGAGGACACATGCTCCGCGTGCTCAGGTCCAAGCTGAATCCAAACCTTTCTGAAGTCTGATTCGCCTGTGCCGGCATCTTTATGAACCGTTTGGACATGCGCCTTCGTGGCCCACGAGCTGGCGCATGGCAAAATGTGGCGCCTAGCCGGGCTCAAGCCGAGATCTGGAAGCGCTGCCGAAACTGCCCCATGCCTCTGCACCGGAGCAGCCAGTGACAAGACCTAGTTGGAACGATGCACAAATCGGTTCCAAAATCGATGAGTGAATTCAGGCAACAGAACGACACACATCCATTGCCTGACTCTGGATGGGTCCACGGCTGAGCTCTATCAAATCATCTTAACCACCCATGGCTACGTTGTAGATCTTTGTAGGACTGTACTCTTGATTTTTAACACCTAGTCTTCTCCCACCATTGGGCCAGGTAGCGCAAGGGCCGTTTGACGAAGTCAAACTCGGCAGCCAACAAGTCCTCCCAGGAAGGTTACAGGCACCCTTTGTTCGCCGATCCTCGTTGCTGGCTTGTTCAGAAATTGGCTGGCGAGGTCACGCTTGTTTGGCGCACGATGAATCATCGTCTCTAAATCATCACTGTACACTGACTGTGCAGCTCGTCTGGCCGCAAAGGCAACCGTTCCGGGCAGGTCCCATTTTACCCATGGATATCTTTGCTCCAACCCCAGAGAAGGGTGAGGGCTCCTGTCCGTGTCTTTTGTCTTTGGCTAGACACGGAACCTGTGCAGCGTACTGGCACGCAGAGGCCAGGTGAAAAGCTTTTTTCTGAAGCATTGATGTCACACGTCTCAGTACTTCCTCTGGCTCTTACCATGCCACGGCCGCAATGTCGCCGACGGAAATCTCCGCCCCACTGCTGTGGTCGAGACAAACCAGCGCGTTCTGCCCGAAGTAGACGTCATCTGCTCTTCTGGATTCGCTAAAGAAACCCTTGTGCAGCGCTGCACTTTGGGCCATCAAGCGGCCAGAACGGTGCTCTCGCAGGGTCTTCGTCACAGCGCCTCCAGTCTGCGTCGTTCGCGTCCCGGTCTGCGGGTCGATTCCAGGGACAGTGCAGCGGGAGCAGGGCTTCACCAACGGCAGCTGAACGCCTGGAAGAGACAATGACCGCATCTCGTCCTCTTGGAAAGGCCCACAACCTTCCACGTGGATGTTCGGTCGAAAGCGGTCAATGCCCACAACCGGGCCCCCTGCATTCTTCACCTGTTTTCCAAGCTTGGGAACTGCAGCATCAGCCGACTCACAACAAAAACATGAGTGCTGTCGTTCCTGCCGAGCAACTCTTCTGCGAATCGCATCGATGGAGGCTTGCGATGTCACAAGCACTGGGAAGCCGTCAGAGAAGGCAGTCTCTCCAGTGCCGTACTTGGGGTCCGTAGTTCGTTGAGCCGTCTTGGCGATTCTAACCTCAGAGGAGATAACCGATGCTGCCGAAGAAGGGGTCTACACATGGGCATTTCAGCCAAATAAATGAGTAGATGTGGGTTTGAAAGTTTGAATTGCGCCAGGGTAGTCCCATGGCCGAAATGGAACTTACTAGCCTGACGACTGACGATGTGGGCTGAAGTTGGGGATGTACGGGGTAGCTGCCTGGGCCAGCGGGCTGATGCATGATGATTGAAGGTTTGCCGGCGCAGATGGCGGATTTCCGACTTTCAAGTCCCGGCCGATGCTCAACTTGTGTAGCCTGTCCCGAACTAGCTAGCAACGACGAGCTACAGCACATCCACCACCACAGACCCGCAGTCCTACATTCCTGCCGCCTCACCTGGCTGCAGCTCGGGATAGGATCTCGACTTTCAAGTCACAGGCTCTGGTACACAATCGCTCTTGTCATCGTAAGGATTCGGCTGCTGTCACAATCCCTAGAGAGAGAGAGAGAGAGAGAGAGAGAGAGAGAAAGAGAGAGAGAGAGAGATGTAGAGAGTAATTAGTTCTACCTCAGAAGGGTCCCATGAAAGGCCCTTGCGCACGAGAGGCCCAGGCCCGATGACCTTTAGGAGCACAACAGCCAAGATTCTCCTAATTACCTTGCGACCGTAGCTTTTCAATCCGCTATGTCGACTTAGATTGGTGTTCAGCCGAAGCCCCTCCTGCTGCAATACATGCAGAATCAGCTTCGAGGAATTGCAGCCTAAATGCCAGCCGCAGGCCAGCAATCCGCAAGTAGCTTGAAAGCCACTTTGCCACCTCGTCACCTGCAACAGTCGCAGGCATGACGTTGCAGGGTGCACATCCCAGAAAGGCTGGTCAGGCAATCCGCTTTTCCAACCCCCTTCCTTGATCGATTGCCGGTACCCAGTCCTCCCAAACCTGAGCGACCACAAACGTTTAAAGCCTTGGCAAGCAGAACCCTCTCTGTCACGTCTTCCAAAGAAGCTTCACATCCAGTCCCATGCCCAGGAGCTCTGACCTTCTTCTCTGGGCCGTCTAGCTTCAGTGGCACAAGCAGCGGGTCCGCAGCCTCCCCCGGAGCCACGCGCATCATGATGCCTTTTGAGGTTGGCAGGTCCTGGCAAGTTAGGAGCGAAGTGGGGGAACCAGGGCTCCACTTGCATGTGCTTGCATTTGCTTGCTGCTTGCTTGCCGAGTGTCTGGATGGATGAGGGCCATGCGGGGTAGCTCGCGTTGTGAAACAAACTCCAGTTTGTCGTTCACGATCATGTACGTTCGATCGTCTTCGATCCCCCACTTCGTAAGACGTGCCTTTGAGAGTGAGTGGCCTTTACAGCCCTTGATGGGGTACACGTACAAGCTGGCAACGTGCACCCGCTTTGGACGGTGCCAGCCCAAACGTCTCGAGAGCAGCCAATAGATGGCACCGCCAGCCGCAAGGCTCCCCAATCCTGCTAGAACCTTGCCCCAAGTCGGCTCGGAGTCAGACGAGAAGCGGGAAAGCAGCCCCATGAGAAGGTCCTTTCCACGGAATTTCTTGGGCCCCCTTGTTACAAAAATAGCTGCGCACAGGAAGCTCAAGTTATCTGCAGGCACTTCTGCAGCTCAACCTATCTTGTGCAACAGCTCCGTGATGCTTGGTAGAAGACGACGTCCCAGATATGTCACAACGTTCCGCCTTCAGCCTCTGTGCCCAGTCAGCAGCATGCCAACCATACCCCAAACTCTCTGCCCGACCTGAGTCAAGGTGCTTGGCTTTCCTGAAGCGTAACTAACGCCTACAGCATTTGCCGCTGCTGTGTGCTGGCCAAGTCTCCGATATGGCGAGGGCGGAGGGTGGCCGGCAGTGGGGCCGGCGCTCCGCTCAGGCGCCGGTCCTCTTTAACACTGATGGAGATGAAACTATGCGGATGTCGCACACAGGGCATCTCCTCATAAGAGCCGAGCTCACACATCCATCTACGTACTATCGCAGGTGGCATCAAGACGTACTGGACAAAGCCACCATAATTAGACCGAGGTTCTGTTTCCGCTGCCTGCGGCCTCGAATAAGGGTTGGCTTTTTGCCCCGCAATAGCACGATCAAGCAGCTGCGAATCGAGCGGTGAAGACCTTTTAATCGCTAAGTCAACCGATTTTACCAAAGGGGAGTCAACTTCCCAGGCATCGACGAACAGACCCTACACGCCCTCAAACAAAGGACGACTTGCATCGTGAATGTCCCCAAGCCATGTCTTATCATCTCTTGCATCCGATCATCCCAGTCTCGCATGCAACCCCGAAATACCCCGAACAGCTCCGCGCTTCACTGGCCCAAAGTGGTCCAACTGCTGGGCCAGTCGCGCAGCGGCAAGGGCCCCAGACACCTGCTCGAGACGATGCTGCAGCGCCGAGGCCTCCAACACATCCCGCAGACATCCGATGTGCGTGGGCTGTGGGCTAAGGCTAAGGAATCCGCTTTTATCGATTAGAAGCTGCAATCGCCGCTACAGTATGGGTCAGTGTTGCACAGCCGTCGTAGTTTCTGCGGGCTGGACGGGACCCGAGAGAAAGCGGCGAGCGATGTGAGGCAGCAGCCGACGGCTGAACTGCTACCGTGCTCCAACAGAAAACTGTGACGGCCTTGCAGCTACTGCTTTAACCTTTCAGCAAGGCACCTCTTCTTTGGAGAGCCTTGACGACGGTGCAAATGCATGCAACGCCTTCCTGGCAATGAAACCGAGTTTGGGCACGCGGGTCGAGCGATTCTTGGGTTTATATTATTAAAGAAACCAAAGAGCTTGATAAAGGATCTCCCCTTTATTCAGGACCCTTGCACCTTGCTTGCAGGTAGCCAAGGCGAATGGTCACAGCGGCTTTGGCAGGACCAAATGCCTCCAGTGCATCGGACGACTGGAGAACGGTACCCGCGAATCCACGTCTTGCAAAAACGGCTGGGGCCTTGATGCTGGAGTCCCAAGAACACGCCAGCTCCACTCGCAGGCAGCCAGCATCTTCTCCTTTTCTTCACAAGGGACTCGACTGCTGCCCTTACTGCCCAGCGAAGGGGGTGATTGGCTGGGGAGGTTTTGCTCGGCGAGATTCGAGATGGCATAATTAAATCACAGAGCTTTTTGGAGAACCTCTGAAGCACTTCTCTGACGTTCCACCTAAGCTTAGCTTTCGAAGCACCCCTGCACTCAGTTTCGGCTTCTGATGTTCCTAAGTCGCGCGCCGTTAGAAGCACGGAGTACGGCTTCGATGCAGTTGACCACCTCCCGAAACGATGACCTCAAAGGGGCCTCGGCACAGCAGAACGCCACTCCGCCACGCCTGGAGAGCAGTGAGCCTCTCCCTGTACCAGGGCTGCGGCCTGCGGCAACGGCCCACCGGCCCCGAGGCTCGCTGCGGCACCTCCAGGGCTGGACGAGTGAAGAAGCCGCGAATTCCAAACTTTTCCCCGGATCTCCTTTCAGGTAGCCCTCCAGCTGTGCTTCCTCCGTAACTGCCACGGCCGCGGCTGCAAGAAGCCGTGCATTGACACCTTGGCACCGTGAAGCTCGGTGGATCCCACCTGCAGCCTTGCGTCGGAGAAGCGTGGCGCAAGGGTCCGAGCCATCGCACGGAAAACGTCCTTCACAAGAAAAAGCTTTGTGTGCCGAAAGTTGCAGGTAGGCAGTCGGCCTGTCGGTCTGGCCTCGGCACTGCGCATGAGAACCATGCCTTGACCAGGCATCATCTGCTCCACGGATTCCTCGGAGCAAGCGCACTGAGAGACACCGCGCTGCAGGGTCGCATCGTGGCTCTACCCTCTTTCCGGCAGAGCTCCATCTCTGCCGTCTTGGTGGCGCCGAAAACACCAACTCCAGCCAGTCTTTCCAACTCGTCAATCAGAAACTGCCGGTCCTTTCGGACGAGGGAGCTCTGGGACGCACTCAGTACTCATCACGAGCTTCGGGAATGCACATGGACAGACACTCTCCCAGAGTCTCTTGAGTCACCCGGCACCTCGCGGCTGCTGCGACGCATGGACTCCTCCTGGCAGATGATAGTAGATGGCTGCGACGGCGCAGATCGACGAGTATGTGCAGCAAGGCTTCCAACTGAGAACGAGCATCATCGATATCCACCGCGCTTGTAGTGAGGCCTTGGAATTTGCTTGGACACGCATGTTGGCACACTGCCGCAGAATGCATCATCCAGCGAGTGGAAGCGGCCCTCAAGCGCTGAGTGCTGCTCTGTAAACCTCTTCTTTGAAGCGCGTGTACTCCGTGAGCCTAAGGGTGACTCAAGTGGTCTTGCTGGCCCAACTTCGGCATCAGATAGCCGCAGGCGAGAGACTGTCCCAGCAAGCCGCGGCCGCACCGGAAGGAGATGTAGGCCACGAACGTATCTAGGCGCCTGCACTTGCCGTGTGGCTTGTGGCGACGAGCACGCACTACATGACCTCACCCCGTCCTGTCTGTGGAACCACGTAAATGCTCTTTTCGGAGAAATGCGCGGAAGACAAACAACTGCCCGCAAGCGGTCCTTGGATGAAACAAAACTTGCCAAAGTTCTCTGCTACCTTGACTGCGTAGGGCAGCACCGGGTCCCCCTGCCACCGAATTTACATCAAAGGCACTTGCCACAGACGTCGCAACACCATTTCCTCGGGGTGGATAGCCACTCGTCCCACAAACACAATGGAAAATTGGCGCCTGATATGACACCAGATCACAAAACGAAACACATGAGGCAGCATCGACGGGATGCCTGCGAGAGTTCATTCTGGATTGTGAGCAAGTATCCCAATCATTCCCGATGTGCGCACTACGGGAAGCATCTTTGTGGGATCTCCTGGGCCATGCACTGAAATTAAACACGGTTTTGCCTCTCTCGGACTGACAGACTGTCCAGAACTTTACGGCCAGTATCGTGTGAAGCGGTTCGCTGCGGTCTCTGCAACCCAGTTGTACTTGGCGCGGTGGGCTTTGGCAATCGGAGCATCTGGGTACTCCCTACCTCAAGATCCCGAGTCGGTCTTCGCGCACATGCCTTTGCTGCAGTCTGCCCCCTACACTCAAAGCCAAGCAGCGAATTTCGTCACTTTGTGTTTCGAAGACTTCTCCCTGCACCAAATCTTTTCCTGCTCATGGAGGAACAGGGAGCGTGCGCACAGACATGCCAGAGACATCGGCAGCCAGTGCAGGGTGCTGCCAAGCCTTTTCTCACAAGCCGGATGGGCGTTGGATCCGCAGAGCCCGCGTGCCAGCCGATGACGACCTTACGAGCTGAAGGAATGCAGAGGCCTTCTGTCGAGCAAACGAAAAGACTCATAAAAATTTTATGTCTGCGCCCCATCCTCGCATGCCACGAGCCTTGACCACTAGACCAGTGAATGGCTTACCGCATTTTTGCCCAGTTCTTGAGCTTATCCAAAGTCGAAGCTTGAACTTCGCTCTTGCATGAACAGCCACTTGCCGCATGTGCCCGCCTCGTCCAAAGCAGCTGCCTCCGCATAGCGCCGTCGCGCCTCGCCATCGGCAGCGACAGCCTGGGAGTTTGCTCTCTCCCACTTCCCTGCAGTCCCAAGAGTGAGGTTTTCTGCCAGCTCCAGCTTGTCAGGTTGGACTGGCTGGCCTGCCATTCTAGCTACGGATGATTACATGAACTCGATCTTGCGCAGCCCAGTCGCCGGCAAAACCGGGCCGCGCGCAACGACGCGAGGGGTCTCCGGAGCCGCGCCTTGTCAGTTCTGAAGGCTTAGAGAGGCTATGCCAGGCTTGTGGCATAGCGCTTTCATGGCGATCATCACAAACTCCCATGCTCGCAAGCACGACCTGCCTTGGTAGAGCAGAGGAGACTGACAGTTCAAAACGCGAGTGCAGGACCAGACCCGGTCAGGCAAAACCCAAGATCACTCATGCAAGCAGAGTTCAAAAGAGTGGACGTGACATGTCAAAGACAGGGGCAAAGAACATAGCAGGCCAGCATAACAGAAGCAACACTCAGCACGATCTGTCAACATGCTGGGGAGGATTGCGAGGCCATGATGAATTGTCTTCCCGGCTAGCATCGAGCTTTCGAAGCCATCCACTTAGCGTCTGCAACACGTCTCCGGCAATGCCGAAGACGACGCCCCGAGGCGAAGCATGCTACTAGTGACATCTGGGGGTGGTCTTCGAAGATGGTTTCAGGTCTAGCGCCTTGCACCCGGCAAATTGAAACCAAGAAAGTGTGGCGATATCTGATGCTTGATATCGCGAAACTCAGCCAGTCGTCGTCCTGAAATCGCCCTCGAAGGCAATTTGATGTGACAAGGCACGCCGGCCGGCTGTTCGTGCTGGACCTGCTCACGGTTCCAAGTGTGCGCACCCGGTCCGTCCACTTCAGTTGATTCAGTCGGAGCCGAAGATAAGCGCAGCTAAGCTAAGTCTCCCAAAGCCTGAGTTTACCCCTCGCCCTCCCACGCCTGCGATCTGTTGCGCCTTGGGCGCCTGCAGGAGGTCAGCAAGGACGAGGTCCTTCGATCCAGTGCCTTTGGGCTCACCTCACACACAACCCAAAGGCACGAAGCCTGATCGCAGAAGCCGGTGTCACAACTACCACTATAGTTCAACAGGAATCCAGCCGGGAGGCTGGGGGTCTTCGTGCTCCGGGCGCGTTTTTTGGGAGGCTGCTCCGCACCATCACCTGCCCAAACTGGCAGAAGCTCCGTTTCAAACTGACACGCTCGGAGCCGAAGAAGCTTCTGAGACATCGGCTTGGAGGCGCGGCCGCACCCCGCACCATGGCTTGGGAGGCTAAGCCACGGCAACCCTCAACATAGAGTTTGCAAGGAGTGCCAGTCGAATATAACTCTTCCGGACAAGACAGTCAACGGTGCCCAGTGTCAGAGAAATAGCCAGCCCTAGACCTGTGGAACGCGACGCAGATTAGCGCGAGGAAAGCTGTTTCTATGATCAAGCTTCCATGACCCTGTTTTGATATCTTTGAATGCCTATTTGTTCCACGAACGGTGCCTCCTGAAATCGGGCGGCCGAGTGGTGGCTCTGTCTGAAGAAGCCATAGCCGTCCCTGCTCGGTTTCTCTGGCTTCACCTGCTTCACGCCACGGACATGAAGAGCGCCCCCTACCAGCCCATGGCGTTGAAACTGAAGCAACCAAACCCTTCAGATTTCACATGCCTGCCTTTCGACCAACGAACGGCATCTTAGCACCCTGCGCATTTGTCACGATGCTTGCCCAGGATCGCTTGAGGAAGTCATTCACCTGCGTGCTTGCAAAATGTCTGCCCTTCCTTTCATCTCCAGCTTCTAGCCTGTTCATGTAGCACCGCAACGCCCGGCCTTTGCTTCCAGTTCAGGCTCGCTGACGTCAGACCTGACGAGTCTGTCAAATGGGTTCGTGATATCGACGGAGTCACTAACATTTTCGGAAGGCATAAAGCCATAACGCTCTTTGGTCTGGCGGTGTTGCGCAAAGTGAGATGCTGCTCTTCAGCTCCTCAGATTGTGGAACCATTTCCGAAAGCTTTCACCTTGCCTTTAACCACACGACAAAACCCTGCGCCCATATTATGGTCATATATGGTCATCTCCGAACTGCGACTGCAAATTTCCACTTTCCCCAAATTGCGGGAACCCCACAGCCAGCTCGATTCTGTCGGTGGATGGCTGGATCAAGACCGAGCTGCCGACGATCGCCTGGCAGCCAAAAGGCGCCGAGCATCGGCGCCTCGGTCCGCACGTGGGATGAGCGCGAACTTTGCGAGGTTGGGGAGCGAATTCAAGCCCTTGTTGCTTTCGGCTGTCCTTACACACCGTCTGGCTGCCATTTCTCTGCTGTCCGACCTGAACAACTTGTTCAAGCAAGGTGGCCTAGGATTAAGGTTCCCTCACCCTGCACGTCGTCGTAGCATCAGCCACAAGCGAGACTCCCAAAGAAGTCTTTGCATGCCAAGGTGATGCCCTCAAGGAAACAGGAAAGCGCCTTCCCTGGCCTGAAAAGTCCGATTTGGAGCACTGAGAGAAGTCTACGAGTAGGGTTTGATATGATTTGATGGTTCCAACACACACAAGACTTGGCTTAGTGCAGGACGCAGTGTTGAAAAGGCCTCCTCACTCGTCAACTCCGACCTCCGCAGCATCCGCATCTAACGACTTACGAAGCACAGCTCTCCATTGGTGCTTTTCTCTTGATGAAACTTCTCAACTCGCTTGCCCTCTCCTCACTTCCGGCCTGAGGCGACGCGCAGAGACGTCTGCTGCAGCCTTGCCGGCCTCGGGCCACAATGACTTCACTTTGAGATTTTTGAGCCTCAGACTCATCCTCCTCCCTGCAGCTGCGGCGAACAGAGTGCGGGATCCCGAGAGTGGGATCACAACCGACGGACTTTCCCCAGATGCCGCCTGTCTGACTTGCTGTTGCCCTCCCTGGGTCCGGTGACCCAGGGATAGGGCTGCAGGCGTGCACAAGCTGCATCGTCACAAGATGCACCCAGGCAGGAAAAGCTTCACATCTGCGATTTGCAGACGAAGGCCTCCTTAAGCCCTAGTTCTGGCCCAGCATCACCGTGGCTCATCATTCTGAGAAACTCCCGTCTTCGTGTTGTAGTAGTAAATTGTTCCTTGGCGCTCGCATTCTGGAAGCTCGCTTCTGTAAGAAACGTACCACGCGCGCTTCCACAAGTGCACGAACATAGGGACGGAGAACAGGCACATGTGGCGGATCTGGAACTTATTCTTTGCAACATCTGGCCCAAAGCCGGGTCAGTGCGAAAATGGAATCAAGGGGCGGTTGCTTTTAGATTTGATCCTGATCCAGTCAGGCGGAAGTGGACGAAGATGCCCGAAAAATCGGTCTTGAGCTCGCATCCTCGGCTGCGAATCGCTTGGCTTCCTTCTGCTTAACATAGATATATCAGGCCAACAATTCCACGCGGTCGTGTCGCAACTGATGATGATCTGATGATGGAGGGTTCCGTCTCAACTGCTCGAGTTTTCTGAAATGCAGCAAAATGCTGGACCGAGGTAGGCACGACATCTGCTGGCCTTCTTCTGTCGCTTGCGGATTTCTGAAAAAGACAGCGGGCCATACTGGCCATGCTGATTTCACCCGTCACGGCTTCCCGGAACAAAATGCCAGCAAATAGCCACTCCTCACGGGTGGTGGGCTCGCTGACCTTGACGAAATCATCAGCACACGAACAAGGGTCTCGTAACGAGTATGGGATCTCAAGGCCTCAGGAAGTGCCGGAGCCGGCTCTTCGCGCCGCGGCCGCTGGCGAGGGGGTTCCTTCAACTCCGAGAGGTCAGATTTTGGTCAAGGTGAGGATGTTGTTGGTTGCAGGATGTTGTACGACTGTGTCTAGGATCCAGAGTCCAAAGGGCTTCTCCTTGGTGTCACAGAGCACGCCTACGACCTATGACTGTCAGAATTCAGTTTCGCACCAGAAACTACCATCTGCAAGCGCAGGACAAGTTTAGTCCACTCAACCTCCAAAGATGCAAAGGAGGCCTCCCGACTCCGAAGGACAATGCGGCTGAGCCAATTCCAGGCATGGTGCACTCGGCTCCGGCACCGGCTCTCTCCAGCGACGAGCATCGGGTTTGGAATCCTCACTCTTAGAGTCCTTCAGCAGGGTGGAACATTCTCAAGGCTGCGAATACCTTGCTATCCATGCTCCTCGTTCCAACCGCCTTTGCTCCAGCCGTCTTTGCCCCAGTCCCCCTGCGAAACAACAAAGCATTCACAGCACTTCTGCACACCACCCGACATTCCCAACTGATGGCCTTGCCCCAGGAACTTTGGTCCCAAGCTCCCTTGCCCCAGTTGCCTCGTCCGATCTACTTCCGGGTGAAGCAGCAAAGCACGTCAGAAGTGCAGCTACATTTTTCAGCAGGATGCCCTCAAGAGAGTGCTCGAAATGCTCGAAGAAGAAACAGAGCAAATCGTAGCACCGCGTGCAGTGCGAGAATCGAGAACCATCAGCTCACGGCCAGAAACTTCTCTGAAGTTCCCACTCCAAGCTGCCTTTCCAGGACCACCAGTCCGAAGACCACCAGTCGTTGCCTACCCGGCTCAAAGAGTCCCTGCAAGGAGCTGCTTCCTCCCCGCCGCGCAACATCAGGCAACGACCTTTTCCTTTCCAGCCCTTGGAGGTCCAGTCTTTCCCTTTCTTGCCTCGGTGGCAGTGGCATACCAAGCCTTCGAAACCCTGCGAAATGCTCCATCTCGCCCTGGTTTGCCGTTGGCCAATCTGAGGCCTGAATTGCTGCTTGCAGCTGAAGCGACCCCAGCCTTTGTCGTTTTTCCACATATCATCCGTGCTCTGTCCTGACCAGCATGAGTACAACGGAACACAAGGGCCGAAGAACCTCCATGACGTTTGAATTCTATTGATCGAAATCGATCAAGCATTGGGAAATTGATGTCACTCAAAACGCGCCGCAGTGAGTGCTTGGCAAGATGCCTCGTCCTTGGCCTCCATCTGAAGAGCTGCTTGCCTTGCCTGGCATGTGCAATCAACAATCGATCGTGCACCCTCTTGAAGCTTCCAGCTTCGTTCAAAGTTCGTTTACGATTCGGCACGTTTCAGTGCATTCTTTTGCATACCGCGCCTTTGCCTTTGAGCCAAGCCTTACCCTTGCTGATTCCAATCTCTTCTTCTTCTTCTTCGTCCTCGTCGTCGTCCTCCTCCTCATCATCCTGCAACCGAGTCCCATGCTAGGATTGGAAGCAATGGAAACCGCGCTACAAACATCTGGGATCCAAAACGCAACACCCCTCCCGCCATCCCTCGGCATTTGCCACGCACCCAGTAAGGACTGCAACTTAAGCACAACACACGACACCAGTCCAAGACCAAGCCCTGACCAAACCACGAGCCTCTTCATCCGGCTCCTTCTCTGAAGCGGCTTTTCCTTTCCCCTTCCCTGAAACAAGACAACAGCTTGGGCATTCCATGCGTGGATGGCTCGGGAACGCCTGAAAAGGTCCGAGGCGCCTTTACTCTTGCCCTTCGCCGGCTTGTCTGCAGGCTTGCTCTTGGACTTGTTCTTGCCCTTTCCCGACTGTCCATTCGCTTTGCCGCGACCTTGAGCTTTGGCTGCTTGGGCCTGCCAAGCTTTTCCCTTGGCTCTGACAATCCTTGGCCACGTGAGTTAGCCAGCTTTGGCAATGACACAAGTGAAGTTGTCGGCCGCAGGGACTTCAGGAAGACCCTTTCAAACCCTAGAGTGCTTGCTTGGAAGGCGCAGGGAAGGTGTTTGACACGAACCGTTTAGCAGCGGTCCTTGTCGTGTTATGTTGTGAGCACCCCTCGTTCCCAAAGGCCCCAAAGCCCTAGCAGCAGGCCCTCCAGCTTTGGAGTCCTTTCCCTCCGAGCTCGGCTGAGGCTCGGCAGCTCATCCTCCTCCGCCTCGACTTCCACCTGTGCAAAACCCGTACAGAGCAAAAGCAGCACAGAGGCACAGAACAGAGTCTGTGTTTCGTGGCGGCTCGATGCGTCCGGGAGAAGCCCCGCAAGTTCTGCTGAGATGACACAAGAAACCTGCCTTCACATGGAAGTAGACACTTCACAACCGTCCCTGCCTCAACGTCAACATCGTCCTCGTCTGCATCTTCCACCGGCTTCGCCTTCTTTCCGCCTCACGTGCCGGCTGCCCTCTTCGCCCATCACCCCATGCGGCACTCGGAGACCAGGAGCCCGAACCTTTGCCTTTCCCAGTCTCCTTGCCGTTCGGCCGAGGGCCTGCTACAGTGCAGACTCAACCAAAGGTGAACTGAAAACTGGACTTCCCGCCTTTCGAAGGCTGTCCATGCCCTTTACCTGCAGTGCCCCGGCCAACGGCAAGCAGACACACGCTCGGTACGCCCCGGCCTCCGTCAGAAGCAGAAGTTGGCTTTTCACCCTCCCCGTCCTCGTCGTCCATGACCACCTCCTTCACAAGATGCGTGTGCTCAAGCTCGAGGACTCTGAATGGAGCACTCGGATGATCAGGGCGGGATCCTCACCATCCTCACCATCTGCCGGAGCTTCCTCGTCTTCTGCTTCCTCCGGATCGTCATCCCTGACATGCGTCAAGTGTCTCTGGCACGCTTCTCTTCAACACGCTAAGACAAAACTACCCACCAAGCCCACTTCTCTGCAAGGACAGCCAGACGTGAAAATGATGCGGTCCGCGATGGACCGCCATCAAGCCAGGCCACTCCTTCAACATGTTGGCCAATGCCTGCAAGCTCACACTGATAGACTCTGCTCCGAGACACCAGGTAAAGCCAAGCGACAGCAAGAGCAGCATCGCTCTCATCGTGGTCTTGGTGCGATGCACCTGAAGCAGGCCCTGCTACCCCTCCCCCCCCGCGGTCACAGCATCAGCATCCTCGAAGAGAATAACGCATGACTTGGACCTTTGATGTCACAGCTCCCTGTAAGCTTCTCAGAGCCTGCTTGGCGCTTCAGCGGTGCCCCCAGCAAAGCAAAGGCGCCACCTCGCGACCCGAAGGCCCCCTCCTGGCACGGCTCTTTTCAGCCGCCTCGAGAGACAACCAAAGGTCCCAAGCCCAAGGGGAGACGGTAGAAAGCCTCATCACACCTCCTTCAACCGCCCTGTTTGGGTCTGCAAGAGCCTGTGTTCAAAAGCGCCACGTGCTTCGTAAGCTCTTTGTTGAAGTTGACCCATGGGAGACAGGATATGCAGGGAAGATGCGGGTGGACGAAAACCCGAGACGCAACTGCAACTGATCAAATCGCGTCCTCCTCGAAGGTTGGGGAGTCTTCCTCGATCATGAATGCATGATCTCGAAGACTGATTGTCACAAGTCTACTTCAAGTAGAGTGTCCAAGCCATCCAGGCTGTCATTCGTGGACATCTGCACCGGAACAGTGTCTCGTGTCGGGAGATTGTGTGTGCTGGCAAATAGGTTGGGGCTTGCCGAATTAACACGATACCTGTTGTCTACATGCCTCATTTCTGTGTTGTGTTCTGCTACACTGCCATGCTGAATCAGCAGCATGGGGATCAATCTGTTGGGGTCAGGTTGTCGCGGCAATCATATCACTAGTTACTAGTTGTTACTGATACTGTCTGCTGAGGCCTTCTTCAACAGCTGCGGTCAACGAGCAAGCCAGACAAGTGGTTTGCAAAGGTAAGTACATGCTGCTACGAGAAGCCAGTTTCTCCGCACCGTCTCGAGACACATGACCTGGACATTCGTCTCTTAACTCGGGCTGCTGCCTGGGTCTCATAGAATGTGGACTGGGCAGTTGATGCCAAGAATGCTGGCATCACCTTTGAAGGTTACAGGACTGTAAACCTCTCGGCCCTGTGTGCAGAATCCATGCATGCTTCTTGGTGGGGAGACACGTACAGTCTCGGCCTGACTGGCCACACCATCTGGCGAGCCAGAGAGGTCCTTCCTGTGACAGGAAAAGGCCATGCACGATCTTGTGCGTACAGACAGAAACGATGTGACCGCCTCTGCCTCTGGTGCAATCGCTGCAGGGCTTGGAAAGCCTCGAACAAATCCCACAAGACAGAACACATTCCGTCAGGGCGGCTCGAAGCTCGAAGGGGTGGAAGCCTCAAGCCGCTCGCTTGAAGCTGGCCGGGAAGTGTGCCTCAACTTGCACTCCCGCTCTTGCATACACCACGCCCATCTCAAAACAGCATGGCAAAGCAGGTCGTGAGCCCTTGCGAAGCATCACACGAGGAAAGAATCACCCTGCCCTGCCATCAAAAACCGCCGACAAAAAGCGAGTGCTGGGCTACACGCCAATGCTCTGAACCTGGAAGTTGCTGCTGAATCTTCACGGGGGCCTCGCTGCCCCAACATCATTAACCGATTAACCCCTGCCGTACAACCTCCTTCCCTACAGTACTCTTGATTTTTGGCATGGGTCATGCTACTAACGGTGGCATCCTATGGGCAGCCTCCTCGTCAGAATAGTCGACGAGGTCTTCCTGCGAAAGCACCTGCTGCACATAACATACTGTGAGGTTGCACCACAAGAATCGCCAAGGTCGCGTGAGACACATACACTTGTTCTGACATATCCACGCCTACCAGTAGCAACATGCAACCGGTCGCGCCGCATGAATCACTGGATGAGCAGAAAAGAGATTCCCATAGCTGCAATGACATCCACGAAGCATGCAGCCACCCGTTTTGCCACGACCGCTCCAGCACACAGTGGACACAACTCTAGGCTCCGACATTCGTGCACGTACATATGCCACCTGCATCTGGCAATCGCTTCCCCACATCTGGCTGGACCTCCGCTGCCTCTGGCCGTACGATTCTCGTTGCTCTGTTGGGCATCTCTCAACCGTCCCGTCTTTCAGACTCCGCGAGTCCGTGGAGAACTTTCGCCGCGAACGCCGTCGCTTCGAGCGACCCTCTTCAAGCGACCCGCTTCAAAACGCTGTTCCAGTGCTTGCCGACATTATAGCCGAACATGTCCAAATACCTGATGTAGCATCATCCGAAGAAGCATCTAGCAAACATCACTGAAATAAAGCTCAAACTTTGGCCGGTCGCTTCGTGTCACAACGGTAGTGTTCACCATGAACCCGGCCTCGGATGAAAAAGTGACTTCGCACAGTCACTGGCTTTCCTCACGCTGATACTTGGAATGGTGTATGTAGTGTTCGACTTTGGGGCTCACTTCCAAGTTCCAAACAAACAATCCGCACTCCCAGCTGCGCCACGGTCTCTCTGTTTCCTCTGGTGTCGCCGAGTCGCAAAAGTTTGCCAGAGCTGCAGTTTTGGCTCTCAAGTGCTGGATGCCTTCTCTTGTGAGTCTTTGTTCCTCCGCGGTTTCTTCCTGAGCAAGGCTGCTGAAAGCCAACCGTCAGCCTCACTGACCGGTGGACGGTTGTTTCAGGACACATGCTGCTGCTCACCCTGCAACGACAAAAACGGGCCTGAGCGCTGAATAAACCAATGGGCCAGCACATGTACCGACCCGCATGAGTCTGGCGTCCTCATCGAGGTTGGCTTCGAACCAATTTTGCATTTGCACGCTTGTGTCCTCCACCTCACAATGCCGCATTCTGTAAGCCTGAAGACCTGCAAACCAACAAAGCGCTCATGTATGCAGCCGCTTGGCCACTAAATAATCGCCGGCTTTCAGAACGTCGTGCAAACGGCGAATGGCTGTCGCACAATGCTGGTGAGCATCTTCAGACACCAACCTAAAATTGCGTTGGCAAAATGAATCCATAAACCGAAACGACGATGGAAAAATTAAAAATGGGAACTTGGATCGTCTGTTGCCAAAGGCACCACGGGTGCGGCAGCTCCGCAACGAAAGCATCTGTGAACAAGTCCTGGTCCCATGGCAAGAACATTGCTCGTGCCTGCCTTCAACCTGCTCGCTCGGCTACATGACCCAACCACACGACTTTGCTTACCTCAGCTGTTCTCCGGTGGTCATGTTGTACTGCAAGGTTTTACGCTAACATCCTGTGGACGACCAACTCTGTCCTCCAAGCGCTCGGTGCTACATTCCTGGGATGTCCCAAACGATGCCAGACCATATAATCAAGGCTGAGACGCTGCAAGGGGCCAACATGGGCCAACCATGGCCAACCACGGCCATAACTCTTTTGCCAGGCAACTGTTTGCCTGCCTTGTTTCCGGTTCCCTCGCTTCATGTTCGGGACAAGGCGCGTGAAAAACGATCTTCGGGTGGGTCCGAGCTTTTTCACCTCAATGTTGTCGGTGGCGCTTCACGCTTCACCAGCTGTGTCAACATTGCCCTTCTAAGTGCACCTCTACGTTTATCTCGCAAAAGTTGCCGTTGTGATTTGTGATCGATGTGAATTCGGGCCACGACGTGTGTAATGCCGTCTTCATTACCAAGTGTGTGGGCCAGGAACATTTTGCTTGATTTAATTGTCACGGTCGCACGCTGGCAGCCAAGCTTTGATCCTTACCCCGCTTTGCCTCCGCCTTGGAAGGCCGTGTTGGGGGGCGAAGGTTCATGCGCCCGCAATTGGCCCCCTGTCCTGGGAGTATTATTCGACGTCCTGTCCTTGATGCCGCAGCTGGGGACGACGTGCGATGCGTAGCAGGGCTGTGGAGATATTGCTGTGGGTGTTGTGTTGGAATGGCCTCATTGATGTAGACGTCGTGGTTGCTCCCAAAATTTTTTAGCACCCTTTCTCGAAATCGTTGGTCTCGCAAGCTCGCAGAACCTCGGAGAACATTGGTTTTCCACACACCGTTCTACCGGCGTCCCATGCTCGGCCGTCACCATTTTTTCCCACACACCTTTTCCCTCGCCATTGTCGAGCTTCCAGCTCCTACGACTATACGACTACCTACCTGTCCTACGAGAGCCAAGTTGCTAACCGCTACGGTCGCAGCGGCAAGCGACGACGGCTCGCGGGTCCTGCGAGCTGGAGCAGTCGCTTAAGGGGCGGCGCGTCCTTTTGACACGGATGGAGCGGCGCTGGCCAGACCTGCCCGTGCCGTGCTCGCGACGGCCTGTTGCACGGCCACACCCAGCACGCCCCACCAACGGCGCGACCAGCCCGCAGCTGCCGCGCGGCGGAGGGCTGGCGGCGCTCTGTGCGACGGCACGTTGAGCAGGTGATGCACGAAGCGGCAAGCCTCACCATTCCAGCGCCCTCCGCCCCTGGAGCCCAGGACGACGAGCTCCTGCGGGCCACAGCGGCACAGCTCTAGATACGTGGATCGTTTGCGGCGCTCGGCGACCTGGAGCACGGCGCCGTCGGTGTCAGCGGCTCCTGGCCGGGGTTGCCCCGGCCTTGAAAGTGGAGAAACGAAGGTGGCGTCGCAGCACAACGCGCCTCCACTTTCAGGCCCAGACCAAGGCCGCTTGCAGGCGGCTTGCAAGGGGCGGCTCCAGGGAGGAATCTGCAAAGATGGGATTCGCCGTCGACATTGGCTGTGCTGCCACGGGGCAAGGAGAGAAAGTTTGTAGCGACGGCGCGGGCAAGGAGAGCAAGGCTGACCAGCGAGAGGCGAAGGCTGAAATGCTGGAGCCGCGGGAAGAGGCGGGCGCGGCTCGCGCGCGGAACCGTGCAAGTGACAATCGCCCTTTTCGTTCACGGGCGGCATGCTGTGTACTTTGCTTCAAAGTGCTAGTGCTTAGCCGCAACACGCTTATTAATTACCAACGACGGTGCAAAAAAAACTTGACAAAGGTGGGTAGCTTCAGTGCTCCAGAGGCCACCGCCAGCACGACGAGCTTGCATCGGGCAAACTGTCCGAGCTCAGGGTAGGAGCGCTCCTTGGCTTCGTGCGCAAAGCAAGCGCAGCACCAGCCGCCAGCTGTGCATGCTGTGCGACCCGCCGTCCAGCGGGGGGCTCCAGAAAAAGTCAAGGGGGACAGCCTGAAGCAAAGGCCCGGGGCCATCCAGAGAACGCGCGCAGGCGTAGACATTTTGGCTCAAGGTGGCCATTTTGGCTCAAGGCATCTTGGCTCAAGGGCTTTGGATGTTTCGTGGAAACCTTTCTTCTTGAGCCTCTTGGCCTGCTAATCGTCGTAGCTGCTCCGGGGCCCGCAGCCTTCGGACGTTTTTCCTTCGCCTCGTACCATGGACCGCTCTGGGGCAGCGGGGGGCCCAGGATAAACAAACCCTGCCGGCTACAGATTGCGGGAAGCCGCGGCGCCTCACTAGGCCGCCGCTGCACCAGCATGCGCAGATCCAACACGCCTCGACGGTCGCGCGCTCCTACAGCAGCCCCGCGTCTGGCATGCCGCTGCAGCAAGGGGCAGTTCACCCATGCCGCCTGTGCCAGCTACTGCGCCACTTGTTCAAGGTGCGGCTGACTTTTTTTTTTGGAACCTTTTTGAGACAATCCGCGACGCGATCCCAGTGCAGCTGGCCCAAACCCAAGGCGACGTCCTACGGCGTCAAGTCCAGGCTTGTAGCGAGAAAGCTCTGTCAAGGGCGCGGTGGCAGACGGCTGGCAAGGAGCGGGGTCTCGTCG